GCTTAAAGGATTGGAACTGTAATTCAGCAAAACACTGAATCTATAAATAATCCATAAAAATCTATTAATTACCCTAGAACTTCAAAATCAAAATGCTTTATAGGACAGAAATTATAGTAAACATAAAAATATTATAATTTCAAATACATCTTTGTAATGAACTCTAGAACTAAAGCACAGCTGCTATGTAGCCCTGAGGATTTTGATACCACCTACAACAGGGACACCATAGTTAGTGACTTTGCCAAAAATGATGGTGATGGTAATTTCCATTAATATCTATTTTCCCTATTTTCACCTGACTGAACTTGTTGGTGGGTTAGTTTCGCAACCTAAAGATACTCAACCTTGTTAAGAGGAGAAAATAAAGAGCTCAGCTGGCAAAACTGAGAAGTCAGGTAGGGGAATCACAAAAGTAATAATTACAGAATTAAGGGTAGTGAAGATTTTGGGAAAGACACATGTAATAAGACAAGGTTAAATTTGAGACTGTTTATGACCTGCTGTCACTTTTGCTAATAGGATGCATTTGCATGTGGCCATTTGAGAGCCGTGGTGGGTGGCAGTTCTGCATTAGTTGAATGAGCTATTTCACTGCATTTCCAATGAAAGCAAGTAGATCTCTTTAAGGATACTCCGCAGTTCCACTTGCGCACTTTCTGGTGCAATCAAGCCTTTCTGGTGCAAACCAGAACCTATTTCTACAGCCTGTTGGATGGCTTGGAAAACATAAGCATAAGCTAGCTCTTCATGCCTATCTTGTAAGCGCTGTTAGTCAAAATGCTTTCAGCAAATAAAAAGGAAAGCATTGCCTTGGCCACAAAAGCTCAATTCCAGATTCACAAACTGCGCCATGAGATTGTACAAGATGCTCCAAGGCACCTTGCCTGGTACCTGCACAAAGGGAGCTGTTTCACTTGGGAGTGCAAGTGTGTCCACGGAAAACAGTCACAAATCTATCTCTGCAGGGTTAATGGAAATTATAAACTCTACTGAGAAACTGGCAGTGCTTGTAACTCACGTGAGTGTCTCACACCAGCTGTGCCAAGGGATCCAGTTTCTGCCATACCCTGCATCTGCCAACTCCCATGAAGAAAACAGCGAGATTTTAATGGAATTTGAGAACTTTACAAACACCCATGGCAGTAAAGGAAATCTGACAGTAGCAGAGTGACTGTACTTTAAAAGTTTCCTTAAGAAGTGCATTTAAATGTAAGAAAATTTTCTTCTGAGATGCCAGCTTTAAACACTCTGCTTAATGTATTGAGGAAAAAGGCAGTCCTCTTCTGATGCTTTATAAAACTCTGGAGCCAAATTATGCCTTAATGCCACTTGTTCTACTCCCATTCCCCCAGATTATAGCCCCAATGAAACTATTAATCACCAACAGAATCAAAGTACAAATTAAATTCCTAATATACTTGTCATAAACCAAAACCATGTAATTCCCTTTTTGCTTTCCTACTCTGGCCAGCTTGGGGGTCACAAAAGCTATGACCTTTGCAGATTAGTCAGTGTAATATTGATTTTGGCCTTTTGCCTCTGCTCCAGCTTATTCAGAAAGTGTTCTATTGATTTTGAAGGAATTATTTGTGGACTACTAGGCATAAGAAGAAAAACAAAGTGAATGTCCTGATTGCTTAGTGGGGCTCCACGTTAAGCTGCACGTGTTACCTAGCTTGCATACACATTCAAAACTGACAATCTGATCCATATATTGTGTATTACAGCAAATATTGTTACATGACTGTGAGCAGAAAAAAAGCAGAAAACAATCTAAAAATTTAAAACATCGTTTGATCATCTCTTCATATCTCAACAGTCAACTATCACTATGTGTAGCAACATTTACGGAAGACTGCTTTATACACAACCTGTATTCACACTCTTGCAATCTCTAACAATCCAACCTGACACATGCAAGTTAAAAAATTGATATGAACAATGATCTAGTTTGAGAGGGAAAGGTTGTGCTGGTTTGTTCATTTCTCAATAAATTCTGTTTGTTTATATTTTAATTTAAAAACATACCTATCTTTACAGCTGTGTCCTTTTTATTAGATTTTGTCCTATCCCCAGCCCAGAACCGATCAACTTACACTCCCAAAGTTCACAGGCACTTCTTCAAAGGGGTGCTGACCGCATGTTAATTATGCTGATTTGCTCACTCCAACGGACAGGTTCAACACATCTTCCGTCCACTCATTTGTTGCTGACCTCACTAGTGTGTTAAGTCAATAAATCTTTATTAAAATAACTTGTTCTGTGTGACTGTCATTTCTCCCACTAGAATGGAAGTGTTCTGTGTATGAGTGATGTCTCAATCCAGGTAGCATTTCTTTTCAGATATATGTACATTATCATAATCCCCATCACCTCCCACTGAAATTCACTGCAAGCAAACACTGCCTCATACAGTGTGTTTATCTAAAAGGAAAAGACCTTTCCTTTTACAGAAAAAAGAAAAAAGATCTTTCCTTTTAAAGAAAAAAGAGAAAAAATAATGTCACATTGGAAATGTTCCCCAAGCGGGTATTATTTCATTAGCCAAATTCCAAGATCACCACTCAGATTTTACTGACAGAAGAATACATCCATTACTATTTTACTCTCATGTGTGACACAAGATTTCCAGAAAGGCAGGTGGAGAAGAGTTATGAGTTGAGCTAGAATTAAGCACTGAAAGAAGAAAGCCCTCCTCTTCCTAAACAGAAAACGGCCAGTAGCATAGGCTATTAGGAATTGGGTAAAACTAATCACAAAAAGGAGGTAATGTTTGCTACAAAATCAAATGGGAGTCTCCTAAAGAGTTTAGTCCCTGGAAACGTTCTTAGGCAGTAACACACAGTGGCGTGCAAAGACACAGAGGAAGCTTGCTGATTCAGCTTTTACTGCACAACACATGAATTTAGTCCATGCAATCACTATGCCATTTTTGGAGAGAACACTACAGCGTTTAGGAAGCACTTGTCTGCAATTACCACCCACAAAGTCACTGTCACATATAAGCTGTGGCATATGGTTTAAAAATTTATTTTAACACAGTGAATAAATACAAGCAAGAAACAACTGATAAAATCAAGCTGGGGGTTGGCAGATGGACAAATGCTGCAACAGGACTAACTCTGTTCTCAGATACTTATGGATGAAATTCCTTTGTAAGGAGAATAATCAGTCCTAATAGAGAAAAGATAGTACTTTGGAAGAGAAGCTTAGTTCTGCTGCTTTACAAAAAGTTTCATGCTTAGGTAGAACAGTTGCTTCCAACAGGGTGGTGTCCATGAAAATAAACAGATTCCTAAACTGGAAGTTTGCCTAATATCCCACACTTTGAGAATAATCTCTCCCTTTCAGTCACAGTATTTTATTTGATCATCAGTAACCATTAAATCACCAAGTGTCTGCCTTACAAAAATACTGGCCTGTCTTGTAATCATTGTTCCTTCCCCATTATGCAACTAAATAGTTACATACTTAAAATGTTTATATGATAGACATTATTACAATATAGCAATTTGCATGTATTTTTCTTGTATTAATAACTTGCATGTCAATAAAATTAGTATTTTTTGAAAAAGGATCTCTTTATTTTAACTTATTGTACCTTTCTGTGACTAAAATTAATCCACTTGGGGATCATGCAGAAAATGCAGTTAAAGGCAAAACATGAATGTCTCCTATACAGGGCAAGCACCAATAAAACTGAGTGCCAGAGTGCCCAAACCCTATCACTCACTGTCTTTCCAACATCGTCCACTGCTGTTCAATTCAATTTGGTTTGTGCTATAGCTCTCAGACACACGGATAAGGAAGTCAGGCACAGCTAGCAACAAACAGCTGCACCCAAACTCTGAAGGACAGTCTAGTGAAAGCCACATTTTTCTTAAGTTTGTCCGTACAGAATGGGATGAATTCCAAAACAAATGTTGCAGCAGCACATGCACAAAAGTATCCTCTTCCTCAGCCTACCCCCCTTCTCGTAGGACTACTCTAGTGGTCCGAAACAAATTTCGGCAGTTCCACTTAGCTCTAATGTCACACAAAAGCCTTTAGAGGATCACCAGCCCCTCCAGAGATCATACTGTTTAAAGGTATGTGAATAAAGGCTCTTTCAGTTTTGGCCTGTTGCGTACACAGACCAGAAAGTATTTTTGCTATTGAGGTTGCTGTTAAAAGCAATCAAAGGCAACCAGCGGAAGATGAAGCAGAGGAAAAGAGCTGCACATGCATTCAAAATGAATTATATCAGACAGGTAAGGGAAAAGGATTCTAGAAAATCCTGTGAGAAGAAGGATTATTTCCAAAGGCAGATTTAGAGGTTCCTGTCTTGCCCAAAGAGCCCTTTCAGCAAGTTTCAAACTTGGAAATCTCAACAAATAGCAATATTCCCCATTCTATGTTGTCTAGTGATACACACTTCTTCACAGTTGATTAATTAAAGAAAAGATCAACAAATAAGCTTTTTGAAAGAAAGATAACATTTTTTGACGATTTCTTTGGACAATCCCACACCCTAGATTAAGATTGTTATTATAGTATTACTGCATTGCTAACTCTTTCAGTTTTACGCTTTACAAGAAAGTTGATGTTTCTTTAGAGCTGTTTAGGGAAAGAATCACATTTAGGTATATACAAAGACTATACAACAAATGTAATCATCTTTAAATGGTTAAATTTTCCCTCATGTAATTTATTATTATATTTATTCACACACACTCTGTGTCAAATTTCACCAAATATGCTGCCTGAACAACAGATTTGCATTACCTGCAAGTTTCTGAGAACAAATTAACTCATGACATTTAGCGTTGCTGCTACAGGATAATACTGTTTACAAGTAAATGAAAAAAATCAGGTCACACAGGGGGAACCTGATAACTCAGAACAGCCATCTGACCAGAAAGCAGGAGCCCAAGCACAGGATCAATGGTAATCTGCCCAAAGGGGAGGACAACATTGTGGAAAGAGGATGAGACAGGCAGAAGCAGGTGAAAACTCACCACTGGAGCAGTTGGGTCCTCCCCAGCCAGGCTCACACTGACAGGTGTTCGGAGCAATACAACGACCGTGTACACATTTATCAGCACAATGAGCTGTCACAGAAGGAAATAAAAAAAAAGAATTAAAGAAGGACTATTAATAGGAAAAAAATATTCTAAACTTATTACTAATCCAGACCTTTGCTGTCTCACATATCTTTTAAAAGTGAAACAAACATTTGTGTATTAATGTTTGATGGCATCTCTGCAAAATAAATTTTCTTAATACACCTGTCTCCTATTTCTCCAAAGTTTGAAGGCTCTGACTAAAACCATGTCTGTGCTACTAAAATATTTTGGCATTTAATGAAGCAAAATCATCCACATTTAATGAAAAAAGAGACACAGTAGGACATAGGCTGGAAACCCATCTGAATACAATCCTGGGCTAGAGGCTGTAGGTTGCCCTGCCTGGGAAGCTAGGGAAGATAACTTCCACAAGTCCTTTCCAACTGCAACTACTCCCTGATTTTCTCAAGCAAACTCTCACATTAAGAAAAAGAGGGAAACTTCTGCACTCATAAAAAAAAAGGGATTCTTTTGCAACAATGCGGATAAAATACAATGCACAACAGATCAGAATTTTAATATTGAAGCACAACAACACAGTGATATTGATTAAGGTGAGGCACAAGATATAAATCATATGAATCACTGCAACCTGTAAGTGCTAAGCAGAGCTCGTGGGGGTTTTTTGTTTGGTTTTTTTGTTTGTTGGTTTGGGTTTTTTTTGCAAGCATGTACTTCTACAGTTAAATCTTACTTTGAAATAAAGCTTTTATTTGAAACTTTTAAGAACAATTTGAAATAGTTCTGATAGCTAGCACATCAATGTAACTATCTCAGAATACAACACACTGAAAGGAAGAATCTGCAACAATCAGCAGTTCACTAGCTTCATATTCATCACAAAATACCCTTAAGCTTTCCAAAATATACACACTGTAATACTTTCCTTCTAGCTTGAACAACAATAAAACCTAAAAAATGTACACAGTATGAGAATTTTCTTTGTACTAACACTTCCAGAGAAACTACTACAGGACCCTGATTAGTATGCCAATGAACACAAGGTGAATGATGGGAAAAAGACAAAGTTGGTGTTTACAGTAAGTTTAATGGGACTATACATGAATCAAATTTGTTCTGAATGGATTGAAAATGCTCTACATTAATTAGGAAAAATACTTGAAAAATGTCCCGTTTTTTCCCTAATCAAACACGATGTAGCACATTAGTCATTTATGTATTTTGTGTAGCCAAGAAAAAGGAAAGCCATACAGCAATCAATCACATATATTATTAAAATCTTTCATTATCTAGTATCCCAGCCACTAGTTGCAGAATTGATTTTTGTTTTCAGTTTTTATTTCTACTATTTTTCAGCTATGCATTGGAACGATCTTCATTAGAAACGAACAGAGAGAATATGAATTTTTAAACATCAGATGAGACAAGAAAGCTAGTTCATTGTTTTCTATTATGAAAATAATGACTTTTAATAATACATAACAATTTTTAATTAGTCTTATATCTAGACATGAATTACTTGTATCTTTGAAGATTCCTGCCTAGTAAATTCTACCTTGGGAACTGAAGCTCTTGCTAAACCAAGTGTGTGAAAAATCTTACCAATAAACCGTTAAAACATTCCATCATCTAATCTGTGAAAAAGATGGAAAAAAAAATACAAAAATAAAAACATTATAAGGAAATGGACCCAGTGCAAGGTACCAAAGAAACTCGTTGAGCATCGCTTTGCACTGCCCCTCATGGCATGCTGAGCACAGAGGTCCTTCCTACAGTCCCTGTGTTACAGCACATACTATGAAACTGTGCAAATAATCATCAATTACTACAAATAATACAATAGAGTTGTCTTAGAAAAAATGTATAACAGATGAAACTTTGGGGCAGAGTCTTCACCATGCAAAGTCATCTCACAAATTAGAGCTGTATTCTTTCCTTAGCCACAACAGCATAAATCAACAGCAGCTGCTCTTCAGACACTGAAAAGGTGTTTCAGTTTTCCAGTAGTAGAAGGTAAATCTAACACAACTCTTCAAAAAAGGCTGTAACTAGTAAGCCTCTACATAAGTTATCTATAGGTAGCAATGTTGGGAGTTTTGACAGCCAAAACTCTGCTGACTTTAATGATGAAGAAATATTGGATAACGAGCACTGATGGAAGTTGTATAATACAAATATTGCTGCTTCCAAATAACTTCAATGAAGATCAATTAAAATTTTGTGTGTGTGAATATATATGAGACACACAAATACACTTTACAGGGTAACTGATTCATAGCAGCTGAATCACAGTTAACAACCCTAAGAGACAGCATCTGTAAAAAAAATTATTACACTGAACATGGGAATAAAAGAACCTGTATCTGCACATAAACTACATTCAGATCCGATCAGAAAGTCCATCAGATCTAAACTTTTTGTTTTTTAAACTCATGATGACTGTACAGGGGTGGTCTTTTCCATAAAACTCTTAACAGGTATCTATTTCTACTGCGACTGTCATCTTCTTATCAATTGCATTAGTCAATTTTGTATCAATTTGGACAGTTTATAGTAAAACAGTTATCTTTAATTTAGAGTAGAACAAAAAAAACCAAAAATCTTCATATGAGTGATGAAAAGGCCTGTTTGCATATTTTCCATATATGCATATATTCCATACATACATATTGTATATATATATGTATATATACACAAATACGCACACTGAATCCAAAGACAAAACACAAAAGGAATTTTCATCAAAAAGTGAAAACATAACACAAGTTTCACCCATTGAAAGTTCTGAGGAACAAGTATGGAAGTCAGAGTCACAAGTCTTGTATCGTAAGTTAAATCCAAATTCATCTGTTCAGACTGGACTCCAAAAGACTAAAATTATTCCCACTTAAATTTCAGCTAGTGCTTTTCTCTGGTTGTTATTCATTCTTTTCTCTTTGCAAATATAACATTTACAGATTAGCAACATGAGTCTGCACATTCTCACAATTCTTTATGCAGTGACAACTAATTCTCTTCCCACTATAGGCTGTGAAGTGGCACTGCAACTAGTAAGTAAGTACTACCTCTAGCAGAACAGTGAATGGTGAGTATTCACACTGTAGATTTCTGTTATTTTAAAAAGGAAATCATAAGATTTCAGTGAAGTGTTAAGTCATACCAAAATCATCTACCAGTAGAATTTTCTAATTGAGCTTTCTGAATTGAGAAGTCAAATAAAGGAACAAATGAACAAAACACCAACACCACCATAAATATTATAGCCTTTTAGAAACATCCTACGTCTTCCACTAAGAAAATAATAATCAAAACTCCATGTAAAATAAAATTACCCTAATGGTAATGCTGTGCACATTGTGGAGCAATATCAGCATAAATGAAGGTATCTGCAACACTTCAGAAGGCTTTGATTCTCTTCTCTTTTTGCATATAAAAAAGGGGGAAGGTGAGTATGTGTTCTTCAGTGGGGGTGCCATTTTCTTGCAGGAAGAGATATTGTGTTGGCTTTCTGCCATTGATAGTTCTGCTGTGATGACATAGAAAAAGAATCCTCCCCATACACTATCTCTTACATTTGATCTCAGCTGTCAGCACCACACTTGCTTTCGAAGTTCAACTGGATGACTAGTAATAATACTAGCAAATACACAGCGAATGCAGGCATCATCTATTAAGTACAAGTTTACTACAAAGAAAGCTGGTTGAAACAATGGAAAGCATGAAATATTTGCTGCCTTCCACTAACTGCTGAGCTCCTTCTCTGCCTTGAATCTTCAGCTGTACTTGCAGATCATGAGGACTGAAGGTCTCTCAATGCCTTCCAGGGTCAACCATTACAGCACCAAATAAATGTAAAGTTAGCTCCACTGAAGGATCTTTACTTTTAATGCAATTTGGAGCCTGAGGCATTCAAAAATTGTATCAAAATTCAGAGCAGGTTATGTCCTGAATATCAGCATTTGGCATCTTCTATGAAACAAAAATAAAAAATTGCTCTCATGAGACCTCACCTGGAGTATTGTGCACAGTTCTGGTGTCCTCAACATAAAAAGGACATGGAGCTATTAGAGCAAGTCCAGAGGAGGGTCATGAGGATGCTGAGGAGGCTGAAGCACCTCCCGTATGAAGACAGGCTGAGAAAGTTGGGGCTGTTCAAGCTGGAGAAGAGAAGGCTGCGTGGAGACCTCATAGCAGCCTTCCAGTATCTGAAGGGGGCCAGTAAGGGTGCTGCGGAGGGACTCTTCATTAGGGACTGTAGTGACAGGACAAGGGGTAATGGGTTAAAACTTAAACAGGGGAAGTTTAGGTTACATATAAGGAGGAAATTCTTTCCCGTTAGGGTGGTGAGGTACTGGAATGGACTGCCCAGGGAAGTTGTGAATGCTCCATCCCTGGTGGTGTTCAAGGCCAGGCTGGACAGAGCCTTGGGTGAGATGGTTTAGTGTGAGGTGTCCTTGCCCATGGTGCGGGGGTTGGAACTAGATGATCTTAAGGTCCTTTCCAACCCAAACTATTCTATGATTCTATGATTAGTACAACCAATGTGATCTGAATTTACTGTTTTCAGTAGTACTAAGTTAATACAGAATTAATTTACTACATATACTATAGCTATGCAAAAGCTGTAGTCACATGAGGCTCATCATTATACTTCTCAGATGATCAGTCAAACTATTAGATACTTCAAAAATAATACTCCTTAATTAAAAATTAAATATGATCATTCAAATGCTGTACAATAACAAAATGTAGTTAGAAAATAGTTATTGTAAATCTAATATATACACATTAAAAACAAAAAGGTTAAAAAAATTGCCAATATGATCTCAGATAGATGCATTTTTCAAATATTTTAAAATATTTTTAAAAATATAATTTTGATCCTGCGTTTCCATGTGCAGAAAACAGCTTAAATCAAAGATCTTACTGTTGCATTTTTAAATTCCAGGAAGTGCTGTAAAGCAAAAATATAAATGGGAATAGTGTGATGTGTTATGACATTCACAGGTTATAATTGCCAGGGATACAAATAAATCCTGTTGGTTACTTCCAGTATGCACCTCACAACAAGCAGAATGGTGTAAATTAAGGAACAATTTTGTATTTGGATTGAATAAATACATTTAGTGTACATATTGATATTGATTTTCAGACTGATTTATTGGTAAAACACAAAGACTTATCCACTGCACTGCTGTCTGCTAAACTGTGCAAAATCCAGTGGCAATGACAAATCTCATTATCTGCTATTTCACAGAATGTTTTCCTGGACAAATTTCACCACACTTTGAATGCTGTGCTTCACCACTGACATCACAAGGCAGACAATAATGCAATGAATGTATCTCCATATTTCTCAATCTCAACTGAGAAAAAAAAAACACCAGGTAAAGCAGTGTGCCATAGAGAGTTACATAGAGCCAGTCTTTCACATATGCCTCCGTCCAGGTCCTGCTGCAGAGGGAGCCTGCCAGCAGGACCCTACACAGACCAGCCAAGCCAGGGTTTGACTCAGGCGTGACACAGAGCTTCAAATGCAAGCAGCCACCAAAAGAGCTCACATGTCATGGCTTTCCCAATAAACTGGGGGTTTCCCTTTTTTTCTCCTGGCAAGTCTTGCCACCTGGTTGCTTGCCCAGAAACTAGGCAACAAGCCCAAGGGCAGCCCCTGCAGTCCAGAGGCTCCAGACCCTTTCTGGTCTGCTCTTAGAGACTCACATTTCCAGAAAAAAAAATGAAGTATCTTCCCTCAGTCCCTCTGACATTGTTCAATAATGTTTCTCAGGTTTTCTGAATCTCTACTAGAAAAGCTGAAGCCAAGGAAAGGATATAGTATTTTTTTTCATTATAATGCATGCCTTTTCTCTAAAATTAATGAAATTATATGTACAGGTCAACATCACAAATGACGTTACAGAAAAAAAGATTGCCCCTGATGAGCTCATTTCTAAAAGGAGATGAAAAGATGAAGAGATTTGGTTCCCTGGCTTCTGGAAAACTTAACACAGCAGTCCATGCTGCACATTCACAGGGACAAATAATTCGAAATACTGTTGAATCATTTCCATGTGTAGCCCTACACATTTGCCTGCCTCCAAGGATATGCTGTCCTTCTGAACTGCATGCCTATCACAAGCTGTCTGCCTTGAGTCCTGCTGACATGAGCATGTAGCTACCCAACCTGCTGTATGACTTTGAACAGCCCTACGTTAAACTATTAATCATACACTTCTAGGGCTCTGGATTCTATGGTTCTATGATTAACACCTGCTCTGTTTTCATTCTGCCTTTTTGATATGCTTTTGAGCTAATACCATTTGAGGAATCAGACCTTCCTAGGTCTTTACAAGGCTGCACAAGAGAAAGAGCTGAGCACAAGCCACCACCAGACTCTGGACACAGCTTTTCCCCCTTTAGACTTCAGAAGATACGGAGTAAGGGATGTGTCACATGAAAAGGTGGTGCTACCACCTTTAAACAGTTGTTACAGATCTCTGTATCTGCAACACAGACCAAGCATAGGGATCAACCGGAGCCCGCACTAAGGACAAAACCTCGTATTTCTCTTCTGGTTTTGAACATTGTATTTATTTACTGTGTTGGAAAATGTACTGACACTTGTGCTGTGCATTTTCCACATGATCATTACTTAGAATCACATCAAGGCTGGTTACTTAGACATCTGAGATCCAATCATCCTGTCATTTGCAACACCAACTGACTTCGAGAGCTGCACGTGCACCACTGATGAATAACTGAGCCCCTACAATAGCTTCCACAAGTCACCCATCAAAGGAGAGTCAAACCAGCATTGTGATAAATGTATGGAATTTCAAAGCAACTAGAAGCTAAACTTACGGACACACATTTCCCTGCTTTCATAAAATCCAGGACAGCACTGGGATTTACGCCTGTACATCGTTTTTTCACCATGTCTGTAGGCAGTACGGTAACTGATCCTAGAGAAAAGAATGAATGGTTGTTACATACAATTCATGGTTCAGAAACAAAATAATAAATATTCTTATATATTTTATAAAAACATTCTGGTATCAGTAAGAGGAGAGAAAAAAGGTTCAAAGAGACCTTGATTTACCTGTCGCTGAGCTCAAGAGTCCTACTGGTTCCACAACAAGCCTTATGTCTGTGGGTGGCCAGACAGTAGGGAAAACAGTTAAGGATTTTGACTACTTAACTAATATGCAAACCAGAGCATCACTGCCTTTGCCATTAGCACTCTCTATGGAAGCTAAAGGCTGGCAATACAAATCAGTTTGCTGGACCATTGCAGGTATCAGTTTCCACGGGGAAAACTTCTTGGGATCATCCTCCCAAGGGTGAGTCAGGTTTTCTAGAAGCATAGATGTGAGAATAGTCCTTTTTAAGGGAAGAGACAGGAGGGCTGAAGGAGAGCTAGGGCCCCCTAGGCAGCTGGCAGCACAGCATGCCTCCGGCAGTGAGGATGACTGTGTTTTGTCAAATGCAGCCCTGCAGGGCTATGGTGAGCAGTACACAGAGTATCAGCACAAAAACCCATCACGAACTGCAGAAAATACAGCTTCCTTCTGACATGAGCAAGTCGTATTTATCAGAAGTGGTGTATCTCATCATTCTCTCCTCTCTGCTCCTCACCGTGTCCATAAATCTCCAAACCTGCCTCACCTCACCTGCTGACTACATACTCCACCAATGAGTAAACGCATCTCCACAACATCTGAGACAGTCTGAACTCCCAGTAAAGAACAGCTTGTATATAAATGTCATAGGTAAAAAGAAATAAAAATCTCTCTTTGAATGCAGCATCTGCTTTTTACGTACTGTCTGTACTGATCTGTCTCCTCCAGCTGTTGAGCTCCAGGGAGCCTTTCCTGCTGCTGACAGTTAATACTTATAAGGACATTCTCTGGAGAAAATGCTTTTTATAGCTGTCACCAGTTTTAATCATTTGCCCCTCGCTTACTTTCTGTAAGCACAAGGAGTTCTCTTTAACAAATATTTTATTTTCCTGTCAAGTAGCATACACTTGCCCCAGAACATAAGGTTGCAAACAGCAAAAGGTCTTGCATGGTATTTTTCTACAAATACACCTCACAGGGTCTGAGGAATTTAATTTTGTACATTGCATGCTTTTTCTCAAACTGTCTGTTTTCTGTTAGCACTCCATGGGATGTTACTCCCTAATCTGTTGATAAAACATATGTGATGCTGCTTGGACAAGCATCTTCCAGTTGGTACAGACTGTAGCAGTTAGACAGACTAGTCACTAGAGCTAAAATATCCAACGTCTGCTTGAGTTTGCCAGACACAAAATCTTTACAAATATCTATAAGATCAGCAGTTGGACAATATCAACAACTATACATCACCTGTGTCGTGTGCACTTAAACCAGTTTAGGATGTCAGTACAGCTGGTGTAGTAAATTTGATCAAAAGGATGCGGATATGACTCTTGCACTGTAACTGAGTAACTGGGGAGAGAAAGAGAGCAAGCAGAGAGTTTATGAAGCAAGTCTGATTTAAGTATCTTTTACAGAGTAAAAGTACAGAAAGGAATAAATATAACAAAATAACAAAATATTGCAATAAAAATAACAAAAATTCACAGAAAGTTCAAGTAAAACACAAACCAGCTAACTTCACAATACAGAAGATATCAATTAAAAGTTTTTTCTTCCATGAAGCAAAGAAACAAGTTTATGCAGAGAGCTATCATGTCTCTACTGTGTAATACATTTGATAAAATGGTACTACTAAACATCTAAAGAAAAGTAATGTAAGCCTAAATCTAAAAAACCCAAACCACCTGTCTCTCAAATGAGCAGCAAATTGAAGTAGCATGTAGCACATGTTCTCCTGTGGCAATAAACTTTTACTAATCTCACTGGATATCTGGAAAACTAGTTAAGAGCCAGAAAATGAGGATTCTTCTATTATACAACATACATATATGTTGTTATTATCATAAAAACTATTATTTTCTGCCAAATTATAAGTACAGTGCCTTAGAAATGAAGCTACACTCTGAACTCTAGAGCCTCCAAAGTTGTCAGTGCAGGAAGAGGAAAACAGCCCTGTTGCAAAAGGGAAAAATACTGCATCATCCTAGAAAACTCTTCAGCAGGCTGATTGTGCTGGCAATCAGTCGGTTCTTGATTGCACAAGAGGGTTAGAAAATAGAGGAATGCATGGCAAGTTCCTGCTGTGGGACTAATTCACAGGACCAGCCAAAATACTAAGTATGTAGCCCATCCGGCTTTCACTCACACCCTCTTTGACCTTTGACCTCTTACCACCTTTTGTAGGCTAACAGCCACAATCTCCTCTTCCTCCTGTCATCACCTACACTAAGTGAAAAAACATCTAGACCCACTTACTCTAACTGCCTGGAACTCACTCTGTTTTTCCTATGTCCAACTGAAGGTAAACAATGCTAATCCATCCAGCTGTCAGACCTAGTCTGACAAAACATTGATGGGGTGCCGATGCCTGCCTGAGGCTGTGTGCTCTCTGTTCAAGGCAGGGCACAATCTCCCCCTTCTTGCTGTGATCATGGTTCATTTGTAAAAAACAATTTATTACTGGCTGGGGTAGATTTATTTAAAGCATGCAGCACTGCCAGTGACAGCAGCAGTAAATAGCTTGTAGCTGGGGTATACTTTCATATTTATGTATGAAATATGTATACTTTCATACTTTTTTATGTATACTTTCATACTTATGTACCTTTGTCACTTGTTCTGAGCTACAGCATGAATGTTTCAGTACGTTTACTTGGAGTTCCTCCCTATTCCTGAGAATCAGCAGAAGGAAAAAGTTCATGCAATAAAATGGGCCAGGTATATTTCGCTTTCTGTACATCTTGATGTTTGTTTTTAAATACATCATGCAATGTAAATAGTTATATTTGGGGCTTTTCTCCCACTTTGCTTTTGCTACCTTATATCTTCCCTCAAAACTGCTTTTACCACTAAAAGCAGTAAACAAAGCCTATGGGGTGAATACTGCAAGCAACTATTTGTATGGTTTGTATGGCAACTACTTCATATACACATTGTTGTATAAACCAAACTGTACACAACAGTAGGGGCAGAGACTCCTAATGCTTCACATGAATCTCAAATAAATTCCTGGAGAATTTTTTTTTTTTTTTGTGGAAAGACTTTATTAAAAAGTAAATAGAGTTTTCCATTTTCTTTGTAAAGATTCAGCCATAACAATTGCAAACAAATGTACAGTGTCTTTGCAACACTCCCAGTGATTAAACCCAAAATACAGTTTACTGTAAATGCAGGAAATACTTGATGTCCTCAAGTGAACAGTTAGACTGTCTCAAGGACTAGCTGATCAACCATAATAATAATAATAATACATAATAATAATAATACCATAAAGCTTGATTTCACTACTATAACCTTTACACAAGAAAAGAAATGCCTCTAGCTCAACCTCCCCTACCCATTGTGGTGTGCTATTCATGTGAAACTAGGTGAAAGAATGGGCCAACTAAACTGGTTAATTTCTTTCTGTATGTCAAAAATCTCTGAACATAAAAATAAAAAAAATAAAAAAACAACCCAAACACAAACCAGATCTTAATTCAGATTCTGTGAATGAGAAATTGAGTTAGAAAGAATCAACATAATCAAATTTTGGCCAAACTCCAATATGGTTAATTATCTTTTGCATATGTAAAAGCTTCTTTTCACTTAAATTGAAAAATCTATTTTTATTCACTTCTTATACCCAGGTGGTTGTGTAACATTGCTGGTGCCACTGTAGTGGTTTTCACATCCTAACACCCTACTGCAAAAATGACTGCATTTCAGCCCAGTGTGAAATAGTCTTTTACTTCTCCATGAACTTACCTTGCCTATGCAGTAACGTGAATTTTTTCCCCAGCTCATTACTCAACTAAAAGCTTTAAATCATTTAAAATCTGCTAAGTAAAACCAAAATTATTACAATCAGAATTCATGTCATGTATTTTCCAGAAGAAAACATTACCTTTCCCAGTGGCTACACACATTGGGATCTTCCAGATTCAAAGATAAAGTTGTCCCCATCCAATGGTACAGGAGTATGACAGGGAAGCCAAACAAAGACCTCAAGTGAAGAGTCATCTTTCCAAAAAGGTGGCTGTATGAAAAAATATTTATAACATGTTATTATACAGATTATAAAGGAGGTAAAACTGTTGACCCATCTATAATCAATATACATGATATCAAGCAACAGGTACTTCAAGAAACACACACTGCTTATCCAGCAGTAGCAGTACCATGCCTATTTTGGAAGAACCCAAATGAAGTAGTTTCACATGAATGGCAGGGCAGCCAGGTGGTGAACAAACTACATTTTAGAGGTCCCACTGTCCCATCAAATTGCAAGCAGCCACGCTCAGAGGCTGTTTAGTGACAGTTTGTCCACACCAAATGACAGAGCTACAATTTAAAATAAAGGCTGGCATTTGCTCAAGACAGCAAGTGTAGAAAGGTTCAGCTGATGACACACCACTGGAAATCCTGCGCATCACTTACAAGGAGGGGTCTGTGCTACTCCATTGTCAGCAGCATCCCCAACTCCTGCAGCCTACACCGGCCTCCTGAAAACACCACATAACACTCCATCTCAAGCAGCATCTTTCGTAAACAGCTCTTCCCCAAAATTACACACTGCCTTCACTATGTGGCCTCCCTAAGGAAGCGCTAGTGCCTGGGCCCAGGCCACCAAGGAGAGGTAATGCCCAGGGTCTCCTTGGAAAAGCCTGTACCCTAACACCTGGGCACTACCTTGACCTCAGTATCTCCATAAACTACCTTCCTACAGGACCCAGGCATCATATGGAGACATGCAAGTCAGAGCAACAAAATCCAGTACAAGATACTCCATAGGACTCAGGGAGTCGTGGTGTTTTCCAATGCAAACGTATAAATTAAATTATATATGTGTATGAATACTTATCAGTACTTCAAGATGCTACACTACTGGAAGGTGCAATGCAAGGTCATGACTTGCAAACAATGGCATGGTTCTTTTATTAAATAACATTAATTTTATATACAGTAATTTTCATGCAAACAATCATGGGAAGGGCTAAAAGACTCTTCATTGTTAACAAACAGCCTCACATTATCCTGCTCTTTATAGATGAATTCCCAATACAGTTTTGCAAAAATACCCCCTCCTCTGCCAGCTGTACAATTTCCAAACAGACTAAACACTTTGATAACAAAAAAAGTAATAGCATAAGAATCTAAAATATTGTCCCAACACTCTGACTAGGTCCATGTTTCTTTTCAAGCAAACAATTTTAGTTTGCATATTGAAATACTTTTAATCCAACCTGCCATTAATCCACAAATGCCAGACTGAATGCTAGTAGAAGGTAATTTGTAACAAACTGCTACATTTCCCTTTCAGTGAACATTTGACTTTATATCCCTGTTTTCACATGAAATTTAACAGCATGTGGCTACAGAGTTTTGTTGGTTTTTTTTTAAAAGATATCGAGTCTAATCTGTAGTTAAGAAAATAAATTCTAATAAATATGTCTGGTTTTAAATAATACCAGTATTTTTAACAAAGTAAATTAATCAGAAGTAGAAATTTCTTACTGTAAATATTATGGAACAGAATAAAGCAAACCACACCAATAACTTTATTATAAGAAAAAATGTCTGCTGGGCCAGAATAAAAATAACAAAAAAAAAGGGAGACAGATGAAATAGTCTTACTTTACAATACCTTCTTCAGAAGTCAGCATAAAAAAAAGCATACAAAAAGAAACTATTATTTATAAGGTACCTGAGTATACAGAGATGATCCCATTTTGCTAAATCCCTCTTGAAAAATCAGGGCTGCTGAAAGACATTTCATGGTCTGTAACTGTTTCTCTGCATGCACACTGCATAGCAAAGTAGTTAGTGTGCAGTTGTTCAAAAAGCAGTAAAAGCAGCTGTGTTTTCAGCTAATAATTTCAACAAAGTGGTGATTTCCCTCATTGAGAATAGTCACTTTGATTATGCAGACTGTAAACTGTATTTCCTTTTTTTCTTTAATTCTCAATTTCAGCAACTTTCCTATTTGGATGCACTTAACAAAATTTAAAATAAAATCCTATTTAAAAAAAATCATTTGCATGAGCCCCCTAGTGTAAAACTTGATTGCATTCCAGATCTTTGGCTTAATTATTAAGGAAAATCAAAACAGAAAATCAGTACAACTGATTAGCATTGCTAAAGTGTTTACATTAGCAATAAAAAATGTAGATGACTCATTTAACTCTTGCTGTCTACAGTTTGCACGGAGATGCCCTGTTCAGAGACTCACTTTTCATATTATATATTGCTTATGTCACTCAATAATGCATCAGTATCTTCACTACCTATATATACCATAGAACCTGTGGTTTGAGTACTGAAAATGCTATGTTGGAGAATGTATTCTGTATGCAAATTAGTTATCAGCATATGCATGAGAGAGTATATACCTCATGCTAAAACTGAAAACTCCTCTGACCTCCTACACCACATTGTATAATTTATGTTCCTGAGCAGTAAACAGGAATTTTGCTACCAGGCATTGAGCTTTATACCATGAGTAGCACTGTTAATCTCCATGAAAAAGACCTTCAAAGCAGCAAATGGTTGTCCCCAAAATACTTTCCAATATCCAGCAACATGTTTGCATATACAGGGGGCAAAGAAAAAAAACAGACTTTTTCAAGCTTCATATTGGAGTGAGCAAAATACATTTTCCCATCATTTTGAGTGTTAACCAGCATGTACGACCCCCTCAGCACGGGTGAAGTCTCTGACTTTACAATCCGTCTGAACACACAACAAATTCAAACTAGCCCACAGTGTTTTACTGCCAGGTCTTTCTTCCACTAAAGTACACCACAAAACACATATGTTTTAACAGAACACTAAAAATCTTATCATCCTAACATTTTTTATACTATTTGAGGAAAAAAAATTTAGTTGGCAAAGCTCCATCATTATTTTCATTTGGGCAGGATCTTTAAAGAAGGTTCTCTATTTGGAAGGTTCTGAAGGTTCTAAACTAAGAGGTCTGTTTAGCTTACACACTTCTCTGTTTCCCTAGACTTTAAGGCAGGCCCATGGTTTAAAAATATTGACAGGAAAACACTGCAATTGCATAAAGCAGCCACAGACTACTTCCTAAAACTCTGTAATCTGATTAAGGAAAATTAACTCATTATATGCTTACTTCAGCAAAGGAAGATATTAACAGTCATCAATAAGTCAAATAAAAAAATTAACCTGATCATCCTAAGGCATACTATTAATTACTAACAAGCTCATTTTAAAATGGAGTAACAGGTGTGCAGGTATCCCAAAAATATACTCCTGTAAGTCCCTCAAAATACATTTTAATGGCAGTAACTACACAAACTGCATTTGTCTCACTAGTAAGCAGTTGAAAAAGCCTGCATGTGCACCATACAAACACAAACAGTTAACCATTACTACCCATCATCTGAAATTTGTAGGCACTTCCTGTGCCACTACTAAATATGTTAACAGTTTTGCACGTTTTGCTTTGGTTTCTTTTCCTATAGAAGTCAGGATCAAAACCAGAAAAAGAGTAGGTAACTATAAAAAGCAAACAAATGCTTCTCCTTTAATCGGTGAAAACTGAGACACAGCTACAAATTAATTTCTCCATGTACCCACAGCAGAGCAGTAAGCAAACTTCTGGACACCCAGCTCTCCCTCAGATTTGTCATAACAAAAGGTAAATACAAGTGGAACTGGGGGAGCAGGGAAGACAAAACAATGCAAAATGTAAAAGAAGTGAAGATTGCTCAAGGGTGAGAGCCAAGTACTTTTGGGTCAGCAGAATCAAATGGTGCTGGTGAATTAAGCAGGATTAGAACTGCATGAGCAACAGAGAACAGTACAATGCAGTTGCTAACATGACATAATAGACCCAAGATCAAGGGAAATGCTGATGTAGCTTTCTCATTACAGTCACAAAAGCATTTTTTACCAATGCAACATAAAAAATGCAGCAGGAATATGCCAGCTAGTTGCAAGATGAACTACAGAATAGTACTTTCCGTATTCTGTCATGGTACCTGTATGGTTTTACTTGATGCATTTCTGCTTTCTGCAGTGATACTGAGTATGTTGATGATGAGTATGTTGAACAGCTCTCTGGGCTGTAATCCCATGGGCTGGTCTTAATTACAGTACATTGCATTCATCAGCACGTACTGCAAATGCTAGTTTAAAAAATCTTCATTCTGTCCATCACAGTTAAATTTCCAGACTGAACTGCAAACAACACAGTTGTTACTGCAGAGCCCATTGCTGATGCCCCTGCCTTCATGCTCTCCAGAGCATGATCAAGCCGGTATCCCATAACAGACTTTGTGATTGATACCTTAAACTGGAAATCATGGCCCCAGAATTTTTTCTCAAGATTTTCTGGGGAAGATTTGTTTGGTCCTTCACTTCCTGCACAGTGTTTTTCATAGCACTACACTCTTCTCAGTCCTGAGTTTCAGATCCTCTATCAGAGGCACAGTTTGTTTATAAAAACATCCTACACACTACCAATGTCAGGCAAAACAAAATTTGAATCTGACCTAATCTTGTCAAAGATGATTAGTCCCATGTTAACTTCCATGAAAAGAACTGATTGCTTTTATTGATTACATTAGAGAATTAATGGGTGGAGAGCATAAGGCGTTTTTCCTTTGGAAATCAGTAAATCAGTTTGATGCTGTGTCACATGAAACCTCACTCATAAACCAAATATGAATTAAACTGAATAGGAGCATTATCATAAAGACCCTAGACTAGCTGATGAACTACCTAAACAAATGACTAGCCACAAACAATACTAACCCAATCACTGGGCTCTCCTTCAAAACATACTATTAATTTCCTTATTTCATACCCCACCACACAAAATAGTCCCTCCAGTTTTCCTCTTCACATGTTTATTCTTCTACAAGCTTTTTCACTCCTAAGGTCCCTTAGAGGGTCACAGCCATTTATGCCAATTAAGTCAAGTTTAGGCACACAAGGCAATGCAGCCGCATCTCAGGCTTCCCTTCCCAAATACTAGCCCATCTTGCATGAAAAACAAAGTACCCCTAAGTC